CCCTTTTTCTATTTCTTTTTTATTTTTTTTCAAATATATATAGAGGCAATCTATTTGATTAATAAACTTAATAACCAAACTGATTTTAAATCGAATAATATATAACAGTAAGCGAAAGAATTTGACATAAAACCAATTTGTTATGCTTTTTTTTTTTGTGAAACCAAGATAACCAAACTTGAGTTCGACTGAATCGAAAAACAAATTATCGAAAATTGTATTTTTTTTAGAAAAAAGTATTTTTGTATTAACTAAACCAAATCAAACTTGGTATAAAAACCAAATGACTATAGTTTTTGTAAAACTGAGATGATCGAATTGAATCCCAACCGAAATTTGAATAAACCACCTCTATAAGTGTGTTTAGATTTCTTCTCAATAATAAGTTTATCTTTATAAAAAAAAATGCAAGATATAATGCTAGATTTTTCAATAGAGATATATACTGATTTGAATTTCATATGAAATATATGATTAACAAACTCATTTTAAAATATTCGAAAATGGTATAGGTGACAAATGATTTAAAGACCCATTTGTATACTTACAATGTTCTTTATATATAAGTAAATATTTTACACTTAATAATTTGTTCAAAACCATTCATAAATAGGTGAGGTATTTGTCCTCATTTGTGGAATGATCTTTACCAACCCGACCAATAAGTTCAATCTTTCAATTGTTCAGAAGAATCTTCTTTTTAGTACATCTTCTCTCTCTCTATACATATATATATATATATGAATATATATATATATATATATAGATGAGGACAAATACTTGAGCTATTTATGAGTGATTTTGAATATATATATATATATATATAAAAGTTGATTAAAAAAATATGCAACAAATGTTAGCTTTATTCGTAAAGCCCGCAGAAAGGGGAATGGATTATGGACCCCCACTCCCCACCCCATCATGACCTTCTTCCACTCAAAACACTTAATATCAAATCTCTCTCTCTATATATATATATAAACAGAAAAAAAAATATCCATTGCGAAGAATAAATGGATATCAACAAAACGGAAATTACGCCTTTTCTCGTCATTAAACTTTTTTCCCCCCGTGGTTCTGTTCCTCTAGTGAACGATCTTTCAACCGTTGAATTACAGAAAATTTGTTGATATCCCAAAACTAATGAAGGTGGAGAATGATCGCTGATGCAAAAAGAATGACGACAATGACAAATTTTTTATCGCTTGTGACAAATTTTTGGTGAAAAAGATATAGAAACGAATTGAAAGTATCGGAATAAAATATATCCAAAAGCTTTGTTAATATAAAATCACATAGTAAACGATAATTTAAAGAAATTGTTTAGGCTACTAAAATTAACAATATATATCTATTTTTTCGATTTTCTATTGCGAGAGAATTCCAAAATCGAACGTGCTCGTTTTGGAATAGTTTTACGAATGAATGATCTATTAGGAAATATTTTTCGAAATGTATAGAGTTAGTATAAAACACGTTAAAAATGTTTCGTGTTGGTCGGTGATGACAATTTTAACGTTCATAAATTCGTGGAGCGTTACAAATTTCATATAAAATCTGAAATTTGATTAAATGTGAAATAAAAATCTCAATTTCTAATTTTCCAAGGAAATATTTCAACTTGATCAATTTGTCAAATAGATATCCAATTCAAATCGACGTTAAATGACCGTTTGAATTGGCAAACGTGTCTTCCACTGTAGCAAAAAAAATTCACCCGAAAGACGACACATATGACACTAAATCCTAATTTAAAAAATCAATATTTAACCAAAAATCAAATTTCGGTTTAATAATTACCGAAATCAAACCCAAAATAGAAAAACTCTCTCCTCTACCGCAACAATGGTGGAATCAGAGGAGAGAGGAAATTCAATGGCGGATAAAGAGAGGGAGTGATGGTGACTGGTGATAATTTTTTTTTCAAGTTAAAATCCGGAAGGTAAATCTTTAGAGAAAAAAAAAACATTTGGTCAATTAATCGTATACTCCGCAATTAGATAAAACTGCACATTTATCATGCCCGAAAAGAGAAGAAATTGCACATTTGTCACTAGTCCATGGGCTAAAATTGTAAAAACCTAATGATTACGATTTTTTAATCTACAAAAAGTAAATATGAACCGAACGTAACAAAACCAAACGAAAAATAATCGAAAAATCAATTTTTTTTAAATAAATATTTTTATCAATAAAAACTGAATCCGAACTGAATCGAACCAAGATAAAATCAAGTAGTACCGAACGGAATTTGATATAAAAATCGAATGCTTATAATTGAATATGAACCGAATCGAACCACATAAAATCGATTTTTTTTAAGAAATGAGTATTTTTATCAATAAAAAACGAACTCAAATAAAATAAGTAGAACCGAAGGGAATATAAAAACCAATTTTTTTTTTATGAGCGAAGGAACCGAACCGAAACTCGAGGTTGTAATCAATTCATCTACACATACTCAAGAACAAAACATTGCTGTAAAACCCAACTTGGAGGGGCTTACCTGTAACCAATTTGTATGTTGAGGATGCATATCCTATCACTTCGACCATAACCATTTTGTCAGAAACATCAGAAATTCGTATAGTTTCAGAAAGAATAATGGAGAGATCTAAACCCTAAAACTAACAATCCTACAGAACAATCCAATCCAATTCCATGGTGAGTTACAGAGACCTTTGGAAAGAAAAGACCTCGTTGCAGATAAAAATGACTGGCGAGAAACAATTTACACAGTTGATGAGCATCAGAGCTTGAGAGAGAAACCAAAGGTTCTCAGATTTTGAGTATAAGAAGGCAGAAATTTCAGAGGGACCATCATCAGCTCATTCACTGGAAATAAACCATCATGAAAGCATATTGAATGCACATCCAAAGTGATGATGATGATGATGATGATGATGAATGCAGGGAAAGAATGGCAGGAGACAGTTACCACATCATTAGTTGTCAACTTCAGCAGCGAAATGACGAAAGAAATCAAGAGCTTACAAAATGGTTAAACTTACCGAATGGTCGAGAGCCTCTGCAAGAGAGAACCATTCAATCCACAGAGCTATCTGGTGAAGAGGAAGAAGAGATAGGAAGAATGCCAGTGTACAATGAAGAACAATGTTCACACCATCTCCACAAATGCAAACATTCATGACCGGCAAAATGGGAATCGATATGGAACGGAAATTACAAGAAAACATCCATCACATTCCAAGGAAATGAAAGGTAAAGCAGTTTACCTGCACTAGTTCCTGATAGAGGTGGACGTTTCGGTACAGTTCCTCATAACCGAACCGTATCGAACCGAAAAATACGGTATTTTTCGCGATCCTAACGTTAAACGGTATTATATTTAGAAAACCGAATTTTAAAAAAAACCCGAAAAACTAAAGATTTCTTAAGATCTATTTTTTTTAAATAAAAACCAGTCCGAACCGAACCGGAACCGAAAACGAACCGAATAGGATATAATAACTGATTGGTACATATTTTTGTAAAACCGAAAGAATCGAACTGGAACATTCTCAAACCGAATACCGAAACGTGCCCCCTAGTTCCTGACACTAGTTCCAAGTTAACTAGCACCTATCCTGACTAGAAATTACCAGGAACTTGGGCTGCAACAAATAGGACACTAATTATGTTCCAAGGCAAATATGCAAGATCCCGTAATAGGATGAAACACAACTGTGAGCATAGATCCTTTTGCTAATGTTAAATAGCAAAATTCTGGACAGACATGAAGTTAGATGTATGATTCAACCTAAAAGCCAAAAGAAGTTCAATGCATAATATGATTATTATATAATGACTCTTCAAAAGTATCAACCAGTAAAGCATTAGCTCCATTCAACATAATAAGGGATATGATGCCAAAACAAATGGACATTATACATACCTGAAAATCAAGTGCTAGATAATCTGAAGCTCTGAACTTGATGTCGGATGAGTCAGGGACTCCCCCTCAAAGAATGCAATTTTCCATTCCAACATATAGTCTCAACAATACTGAACCAAGATTTAGAGGGCCAGGAGCAAATTGTTTCATCACCAATTTATCTTTATCAAACATCTTAATGACCGCCTAAAGCATCCTACTTCTATAATATAAATATTCTGTTTGAAGAAAAATAAAAGAATGATGGGCTACCGCCAACTAAGACCCAATGTATAATGTCCCTCTCTCCCCATAGTATTCCTTTCCTAGTATGATCAAGGGTGACAAGACTCAGAAAAAGAAGTCACAAAATTTGCCAACAGATAGATCTATTTCTATGGATGTACAGGGAAGACAAAGAAAATCTAGGTCACCACCTCCTGTATTCTGCTCTTCTTTTCCTTTAACCAGAGCAGCGAGATTATAGATCTCGAGCCTATGCAGACATACTGGAGTCAATATCTTACACCAGCAAAATTCGAACGACTTAGACCATCTAATGCCAGTTCAACCTGGCGTATAAGCACTTCCACGTTGTGGAAGCTGAAGTTGACTACTGTCTTGATGGAAGAAACACAGTCTCTAAACTCTGACTCCTTTAAAGTGACGGTGGCAGCTCTAAAAGCATTTCGGGATTTTGTGGAAGCTTCCATCGCCAAATTCATGACTTCTGCCTGCAATGCAGCGGAACGAGATATCAGTTTTTTTTTTGGTGGGCAAAATAAAAAAGATACCGATGACAATGACATGCAGTTCACACAACAAAAGGCTCGAAATTGCACACACTACACCGATCTCCATATTGCCTGTTGCAGCACACTTAGAAGAGATAGTCTTCCTTTGTTTTGGCACCCAGCCGGTATATAAGAACTCATTTGGAGTTCATATATACATATCACAAATCTCTGCATGTTTCCTACATGAAACTCTTAGTGCTATTCTCTCAAATAGGAATTGAACTCTTCACCTTTCCTTGATAGCTTAAAGATTTTAACACTAGATTTAGAAATTCATCTAAGAAGCTGGAATCAAGATGGGAAAATCATCATCAACAAATCCCTGAAATTAATGCAAAATTGAAAGTTCTGGAGACAAATAACTAGATCAAACTAAGTAAATTATCCATGAGATCGAAAAACTCATATACAAGTGAGCTTGCATCACACATATTGCACCAGATGGAAAGCAAATGTTCATACAAGGAAAGCCTCATAGGTCTATCTAAGTTTCTGATAAGGTTCAGAATCTAAAACTCATCTTTCCAACACAAATCGAGACTTTATTTCTCACCGAAACCTGAATACAACTTTGGATGATCCTGTTTTATGAGAGGATCCCAACTCTCATTCCCCAAACAAACCCTAACCCTTTCTGAAACTTCTCCGTTAATCACTTTCTCCTCTATCTAATCTGTATTTATAACTATTCGTTGCCAAAACTACTAACTAACTAATAGTACAAAACAACCCATACTAACCATAGTCCAGATTCAATGAATCTACCTAACACATACATCTATCAATACCGTCCGCCCGAGTTTCAGTTTGTCCTCAAGCTGATGATCTGGAATTCGTTCGTTCAAATCCTCGTCGACTTCTAACTTTCTGAGCATAGTATAATGGCTGTCCAAAATCTGCTTAAGCTCCACTAACCATTCCAAGTCTGCCAAAAGTTGTTTTGGATTCGGAGCTGGCTGAAAATCGTTTCCAATGGCCTGCTTCCACAATTTCTGATATGTCCTGCTTGTCCAATATGACTGCTTGTTCAATCCAAACTGCAGAAATATCCCTTTCTCTGACTGAAACACAACCCCACTAAGAATTGCATCATCACATGTCTTCCTCCTCAGCTCTATACGAGTGCCACAACGATCATAAAATAAGAGTCTAAACATTTCCCAATCACGGCACTTCCCAATTTGTTTCTGGCCATTGAACAACATCAAAGCTTCCCCACCCAAATCTGTAGAATCTAGGTAACTCCTTGTCACTACAACCACCAAATCCAAAGTACTTTTCGGTTTTGACATCCCATTCCAGAATGAAGCTGTCATCGAACACCGGAATTGCCATCTTCATGTGTGAATCAATCTTCCCGATGAATCGATCTGAAAGAGATTTGTTCTGTAGTTCCCAATCACCTGAATCTATAAACCCAGCCGCTGTCTGCACCTTTGGGACTTTGTCACGATCGATCGACAAGTCTCCGATCGGCATGTTCTGGTCATGATTAGCCTCTACGCGATTGACGAACGCAATCGGCATCACCTTGAGGTGTGAACTGTTGTTTCCGATGAATCGCTCATGTTGCTGCACATAGCCTTCTTCTTTTGGCTGCGGAATCACCTCTCGAACCTCTGGAAGGATTTTCAGTGCTGGATCGCAAACGATTTGCGGATCTCGATCGCGATATGTCTGAGTCTTGTTGGCTACCATTGCTAGCGTCGGATTTGGCCTAGATTTCGAATTCTAACAATCGTGATCGGCCTCCATCCACCGACACAGCTTCGACAACATTTCCTCTATTCTGTCCCACTGCGCCATTCGTTACTCATTGGGTTTCCGCCATTTCCGATTGAAGACGGGCTCTGATACCAATCTGATAAGGTTCAGAATCTAAAACTCATATTTCCAACACAAATCGAGACTTTATTCCTCACCGAAACCTGAATACAACTTTGGATGATCTTGTTTTATGAGAGGATCCCAACTCTCATTCCCCAAACAAACCCTAACCCTTTCTGAAACTTCTCCATAATCCCTTTCTCCTCTATCTAATCTGTATTTATAACTATTCATTGCTGAAACTAATAACTAACTAATAGTAACAGCCAAAACAACCCATACTAACTATAGTCCAGATTCAATGAATCTACCTAACCCATACATCTATCAGTTTCCTGAAGCACTTAAATTCCTGGTAGATATATTTGATATACACACGGTTCTAAACCTCAAAAAGTAAAGCCAGTGGACCTGCCAGGCCACTTTTTTGAATACGGGAAAGCATCACCAAGAGATAGAAAAGTCTGTAATAAATATCCTTGAGCTCATCGACGCAACAGAATAGCGGTGACATGAAAAAAAAAGCATAGCTAAGCATCTTAAGGAAGAAGATTGTCATCATAAATATTAGACCAACTGTAACATGATACCACTTTATGAAATTTGACTGACTTACAAAGTCCAGTAGCTGAACAAAATTTTGCTGGCTTCTAGCTACATTGTGATGGTTTCCAGCAATACGAGGAAGACCTCCCGTAGAAAAGCAAGATTTATTCACCACTCCTTGATGATTAAAATTATCGATATCTGATGCAGAAGAACATGGCGATTCACCTGAGGAAACAATAAAATCAAAATATTATACAATATTTAGCTTGCCGAAACTAATCACAAGCTTCACACTAGTTCTTATTCAGACATTCTTTAAACCCACACGAAAGCCAAGTGATATGGAAACGTAGTACACATCTAACATTCAAAAACAGCAGGAAGAAAGTAGTCGGCTGAAAGAAAAACTTCAATACAGTGACCACAGAATTAATACTTGAGAATTCAGAAACAACAAGATAGGTTATGGAAACAGACATGCGTATCTCTACATAATCTTTGACATGAGAGGGAACCACCTCAAAAAGTGAAAAAACTATGAATCCATTGTCACTGAAAGTAAAACATGTCTAGATCAAAACACATTGGTAAGCGTATGGAGAAAATCCAAGAGAACCTTTAGGAGCCGTCTGCAGCACTTTTTGAAGTGAATTCCAGTCCCTACTTGCACCAAGACTTCTACCATATATTATCCTCATGCATGACACTTCCGTGCATTTATAGGCCAAAGCAGCTGCAGCCATTTCCTGGTTTGATTCATATTCAAGAGCACAGCTCCTGTAACAAACAAGCAGTGTTCATTCAGCAAGAGATTCCCAAAAATTTACAGAGAATCAGAGATAAACCAATCCTAGAACTAAGTCATACTAGACTCCTGATATGGTTCCTTCCTTGTGGTCAATAGAAATATGAAGGTAGCAAGCTAAAACATTCACTCACTCAGAAAGTTTAGCAGCAGTACTATAAGCTTCAACATGATTCATTGTCTCATTCAAAACGTTCTCGCCACTGCACATTTCCAGAAGAGAAGCTCCATAGAGAAACTTCAGGGATGCTTTGAAGCTGGCCTCCTTATGCTCACACTCAAAGCCAGAGCTCTAGATTCAATTGTGTAGAAAGATATAGACCCAAGATAAAATGAGCAGAAGAAAACTAGATAGTTCAAACAAATATTCAAAGGAGAAGTAAAACAAAACTTAACCTTCAAACAGTCAGCAAGCTTTCTAAGCTTATTGGCCTCTTTAAGGACATCATTTGCAACCTGACAGGAGCTATCCATAGTCCCACGAGTTAAGGCACTGACTTTCGTTGTTGCAGATCTACTTTTGAGGACATTGTCCTGAGATACAGGTGACTGTAGAGGATCAGCTCTGCTTTCAGAAAGATAATCCTGTAATTGATCCTGCCTGGATTTGGCATTTCTATTTGTGCGATATAGGCCACCAAACTTTGAGTTCTGACCACATATTTCGAGATCTGATTGTTTATCGTTTCTGGGTTGAGTTACTGACTCAAACTCACAATCACCTTCCAGATATGTTCTTCGGTTAATAGTTCTATCCCCAGCATCACTGTAGTGTGTATTTTGACCATTTTGAGATATATTATCTCCACCTGATGCAAGATCTTTCAGGCAAGAAGATCTTGTACGAGATGAGGAAATCGATTCCACTGGCAATGCTTTTACTTCTTCTGCATAAGCACTCCCACTTTTATGCGATCCTAAAACCTTTGAAGAGCTTAAATTTGCTATCCGAGAAACAGGTACCCTTCCATATTCTCGAAAGCCATCAGCCAGATGCATTCCATCCTTTTGGCGTGTTTTCATTTCCTTGTGATCTGCAATTGAAACCTCCGATGTTTTATATTTCTGGTTTGGAGACACATTGTTCTCTCCCTCTCCCAACAATTCTGAGTGATTGCCATTGTAATTGCACTTATATTCCATCAATTTTTCCCTCGTTACAGGATCAATGGTTTTATCAAAAGCTTTTGCAGCCAAGAAGTTATCACCAGTTGCGGGTTTAGATTGATGGTCAAGTTTCTTTTGAGATGCACGTACTTTCTTTTCTGTGTCTCGCTCCATATCCACCATGGGAAAACCATTGTCAGATGGTTTTGTGCTCTTCTCAGCCATACTCTTTACCAGATTTAATTTCCCAGGGTTTTCTTTTGATTTATCCTTCTTTGAGAGTTTGTTTGCATCAGCATCCTTGGTTTTCTTGGAATTGTCATTTTCCTGTTGGTGATTCTCCTTCTTCCTCTTGAAACGTGCCTGACAGGCAATACCTAAAGATGTATAATAGAAAGACATAAGTTATGTTGATCAAAAGAAAGTCTGAGTCTGACGAAAATGCTGAGGAACACAGATATACGCATTTATCCTCATCAACATCACACGACGTACCAAGGTCATGAACTTTGGATCTCTGTACAGCACTGTGGTTCCCTGCAGTGTTTATTTGAACAGAAACCTGTAAGTTACTTCCCATAGTGCTCACTGCCTCAATCTGGGTATTGCCTAGACCTCCTTTAGATAAGTCTTTCCTTCTGGTTTTCTTCGTTATTCTATTACATAACAAACCTGAGGTGAGAGGTTGATGGCTTCGATCAACTCGACCAGCATCGGAGACAAGGTTGATAACACCATTCTCCAAATTATGAGTCTGAGAACCAGAAATTCGGAGTAATGATATAACAGCATTTGCAGTCTCTTCCTGGCTTAGCCCACAGCGGTTCATATTAGGCCTACAAAAAATTTCAGGGGCAAAATAGTAAGCGACAAGATAATCTGATGAAATCTCCCAAAAAAAACATAAGGGTTCTGCACAAGGTTGAAGGATTGAGTCAAGAACCAGATTATCAAATAAAAAATTCAATATTAATATTATTAAAACATTAATAGTTTGATTCAGGACCTCGCAGGAACAAGGCCTAACATGGTTCAGTGTTTTTCCCATAAAGAATTACTGAAACCTACGCTAGACATCTTCAGTAGACTAACATTAGAAGAATTGGAACAAGAAAAGAGCACAAAAACTGGAACTGAAGTTATATATGTCAGAAAAAGACAGTTTTATGCCCACGTTTCACAAAACTCAGATACTTACAGCCAAATTTGCATGCTACATGTCCACTTATCAGGCAATTGCTCAGGTTTTATTCCAGATGGTAGTAAGCGCCATGTCTCACATCTATCACACTGAACCCAGCTATCAAGTTCAAGACTGGTTGGAGGAGGGGCAGCCTCAGAACCAAGCCCAATATCCGTATCATTCTGACCAATAGGTCCAATATGTTCAACACCCTTAAAGGGCGTCCCAGATACAAGTTCAGCACCAAATCTATTATTGCAGACACTTGCTTTTGATTTTGGTGCCTTTGTTAACTTCTCCGAGCTGACCAGATAAGGATTCTCTAACCTTCCACAAGAAAGCTTCGCTTCATTTGATTTCTTGGGTGCGACTTCTGGGTCACTTTCTCCATCCTTATTAATATCCTTCTGCAGCATACTTTCAAATGTTGAAGGATCATTACTAAAATTTAACCTATCTAAACCACAGTTCGTATTCTTCCTAGTTCTCTGACCAACGGCAAACTTTTTTTGTTTCTTTGTCTCTGCAAGTGATGGACTTTCCTTGCAAATAGTAGCATCAATAGAGCTTATCCCGCTTTTTTTGCTTCCATTCAGAGTTTTCCCACTACCAAATGCATCACAAAACTTCTTCGATGGCAGAACAGGAAGTTCTTTTTCAATCTCAACCACAGGTTCATTGTCTACAACAGTTTCTTGTTTAAGCTTTTCCTTTGCATGAAGCAGAGTATGAGGAAGTGGAGACATCAGTTGACCCTCTGAGACAGGAGCTGATGTCATTTCCTGATTCACAGAGTAATATAAAATGTATATCAAGATTCAGCCACTTGTATCCACAAAAAAAAACGAAGTAAAGCAAAAGAGATGATCTACCCGAAGAATTCTAGAAGGAGATTCATTAGGTGTATCTAGAGATAAATACGGTGGTACTCTGCAGCTATTATCATGTGTTTTTACTGGTGGCAAGTTAACCAGTAAATTTGGAGAATCATCTAGACCAAGGCCTCTATGCACCACTGCAACTTTCTGGGACAAGATTTCAGAACCCATTTTGATCCGGACCCTGATAGGCTTGTGATCAGACACATAATTGGCTCTCATTATCGTGTTTCCTTTCTTCATGGACACTTTCCCAGAAGTCTGAATTGAAGGGGAGTCTGAATCTCGCTTGTTTTGTTCATCCTGATTACTTTTTAGGTTACATGATGCAGATCGCAGAGATCCTAAGTTCCTAACTGCATTCTGCACAAATAATCGATAGTCATGCTGTATAGAGTAGAATGATTTTGTCAGAAAAAATGCAAACAATAAAAAACTCCTAATGAAAACAATAAAAAATGATCAGGCGCATCCATCACTCAAACTAGTCACATTTGCTTCAACTCCGAAGATTAATTTCTCTTATATCTTTCTTTCCAGTTAACTCACTTAATGAGAAGGGCAAGAATGATGGACATTAAAAGAATTTTACGCTTTACATTAATTCTCCTAACTGTATCTTCAAGTATGTCGACAAATATTTTCTTCCTACCTTCCCGGGCAAACTGCTAGGGTGTCGTTGTACATCAGGACTCCTTTGAGGAGTGCCTCGAAGCAATGGTGCAGGCAGTGAATCTTCACAACTGGACAAAAATGTTCCATAGCCACCATACTTTTGACCTGACAACTCATATAGTTCTATCAAACTTTATTTCATATTTCAGCATTGTTGGCTGTCAAAACCCTTTTAATATCACTTACCCAACAGTTCTGCAGATAGCACCCCTCCTTCAAAAGCTTTCTGCAAATGGCCAAGAGTATTCTCTATCCTCTCATCCTTTAGGGAACAAAGCACCAAACTTTGATGTCAACAATGGAATAGTAAATATAAAAACACACACAAGGTGAAGGGGAAGGATTCAGAAGGTTGAATATTCAGTCGAAGATCGATTAACCATGCGAACAAACACGTATAGAAAGTTAGAAACTTACATACATCACAAACAAACACTGTAACTGCAAAATCTTACTGTCCATTTTAACGGAACACCGTGAATAGTTCACTTTGTGATCATATTCTTGCAACAAAATCTCAATTGAATGCAGACTTTACACTGATTGAAAGTGTAAGATTTGAAAACTTTTGTTTTCAAATACCACAACCACCAACCATAGCAAAACTCAATAACTAGCATAAGCATTCAAAGAACTTAGATTATATGGGACAAATCTGCATTGCAACTGTATGAACACTTGCATATATACATATATCAAAATGTAAAGATATAAAAAAAAATATCTAATGAGGCCCCACCAAGTAAGCGAGATCATCCAAAGGATCAAAGCCTTGACAGATAGAAGAGATTGCCTCCCCTTCCTGAAGATCAGAATCGTCTTCCATGTTCTATACCAACAAATAGAACCCAACCACAACCCTAGAAACCCGAACTGCAAACATGAAATCTGTCCCGAAACACAGAGAGTAACCCTGACGCTAACCAACCTTCCCGAAAATCCAGCATCGTTCACAAATCCCTTCAAACCCGGAAATAGTGATTCTGAAGCATCGAAATATCCCCCAAACCCTAAATTTCAAAATTCCAATCCAAAGAACCGTCTTTCAGTCCGTAAACACGAAGTTAATCGATTAATCCTGGTACTCTTCAGGAACCCGTGATCAATATCGGCGATCAGAGAGTGGGAAACAGAAGAATGATCCACAACTCCGCCGAGTTGAATCAGAGTCAGACCGCGTAGAGGGTAGTGGCGGCGAGTTACGCTCAGGCTTAAAATCGTTGGTCACTCCTCTTTGTTCGGGCTCTTCGCAGAAGACGGGAAGAAATAGTGGTTTTTGTTTTGGAGCCGTTCTTAGCTTTATTATTAATTAATTTTGATTTGTAATTAAACCCTAAATCCGTATCTTATATATAGATTTAAGATTCAAATTTAAATTAAGCCCCCAGATTTGTCTTTGATGAGCGAATTTGCCCCTTATTTCTTAAATAGTAAATACCCCTTTTTATATGATTTGACATCTGAGTTCATTTTTTGGATCATTTAACAACCAACGAGAATTTATATAATAAAAAATATACACAGCAGCCAAACATATCAATTGAGTCAAAATTTTATTTGAAGCAAAAAAAAAAAAAAGAGAGAGAAAAGATACACGTCTATATGATAAATTTATAATCATAAATTTCTATCATATGATCAGATGTGTAAGTTTATGTCCAATTTATCAATTAATATATATTGATGGGTTTTTTTAAAATTACAGTTATTTTAATTTAACCTAATATGTTAAAATGGTCAATTTACGAGGAATGAAAATCTGAGTATTTATTATAAAAACTTATCTAAAGATATGGTAGATACTAGGCCACACCCCACTTCATTGGGATGGAATAATAAGTTGCTGAAGTCTAGGTGGGATACTAGAGTCTCTAGAACAATTGTTTTACTCGGTTAGCAAATGATCACTTACACCATATGGACAGAACGACAATTCTAGAATTCATAATTCTGTCTTTTTAGATGTTGAGATTCTCTTATATACTTTTGACAAGACTCTACCATGGATAGCAACATTTTTCTGACAATTTAAGCCGGACCTAATTTATGAGATATTATAGCGATGGTTTGGGTAATCATTGTATTGGTTTTGGTTTAGGACCAAGGCCGTCTCATAAAATTCTGGGATCCCGTATACATCATATTTTTAAATTATTAAAATATATTAATTTATATATTAAATAATAATAATATTTAAATATAATTAAAATAATTTTTTTTTGTTGAGGGTCCGTATACATAATTATTAAGAATTACATTTAATAATATATATTACTAATAATTTTTAAAATAATTGAGGCCCTATATTTTTTTGGGCCCTGTGCGGTCACACCTTTTGCAGTCTTTTTGTTGAGGGCCCGTATACATAATTATTAAATATTATATTTAATAATATATATTACTAATAATTTTTAAAATAATTGAGGTCCTACATCTTTTAGGGTCCTGTGCGGTCGTACCTTTTGCACTTGGTATTAGACGGCCCTGTTTAGGACTACTATCATACGGTTTAGAGCTACACTCGCATTTAGTGGAATCCTTAGAACTCTTCTTAAAAAACGTCATATATACATAATCATATATCATACTACAATATTTTAATGTGTTATTTGTATGATATGATAATTAATTAAAATTTATAAATTTACCATTTTTAAAATTTTGTATTATGTAAAGATAAACATTTATTTAGTTTAACATCTTAAATAAAATTCCTTTTGAAAAATTTGGCATCTTTTGGATGTTTTTCTAAAATAACATTTTTTTATTCTTAGGGCTTAATCTTTGCTAAAAAAAAGTAAAGTTTCCGTGCAAAATAAATAATGCGTAGGAAAAGGAAACAAACATTAATAAGTATAATTTATTATTTTTATCAGCAGAACCCTTTCCGTGTGAAAGAGGCAAAAGTGTATACATACATACCTATATATAACCCCGTGACAATAGAATACCCTAACCGCCACAACTCTTTCGAGACGAGAAAAACCCTAACATTTGTTGATCCCATCTCCCTCTGTTCTCTCTAAGACTCTCCCCTCTCTCTCTCTCTCTCCCGACTGAAACTCTTCTTCGCTGTCAAAAATGGCTTCCGGGAAGGATTCGGATCCAACCCTTGGGTATTTAACCCCCAGGGACACGGAAGTTCAGCTTCCGAGGCCGACTCGTGTGAAGAACAAGACGCCGGCGCCGGTGCAGATCACCGCCGAGCAGATCCTCCGGGAAGCTCGTGAGAGGCAAGAGGCTGAAATCCGACCTCCAAAAGAGAAGATAACAGATTCGACTGAGCTTGCCGACTACCGCCTCCGCCGTCGGAACGAGTACGAGGACCAGATCCGACTCGCTCGGTGGAACATCGGAATCTGGGTGAAGTATGCGCAGTGGGAGGAGTCGCAGACGGATTACGCTCGTGCACGGAGCGTGTGGGAACGCGCTCTGGAGGTCGATTGCAGGAACCACACGCTATGGCTCAAGTACGCCGAGTTCGAGATGAAGAACAAGTTCGTCAACAGTGCTCGGAATGTATGGGACCGTGCCGTCACGCTCCTCCCGCGCGTGGACCAGCTCTGGTACAAGTACATCCACATGGAGGAAATCCTAGGGAATGTGGCCGGAGCTCGGCAGATATTTGAGAGGTGGATGAATTGGTCACCGGACCAGCAAGGCTGGCACTCGTTTATTAAATTCGAACTCAGGTACAATGAAGTGGATCGAGCTCGATCGATTTTCGAGAGATTTGTCCTGTGCCATCCCAAGGTGTCTACGTACGTTCGGTATGCAAAGTTCGAGACGAAGAACGGCGAGGTGGCACGTGCAAGGAATGTGTACGAACGTGCCACCGAGAAGCTCGCAGATGACGAAGAAGCTGAGAAGCTCTTCGTGGCATTTGCCGAGTTTGAGGAACGGTGCAAGGAAGTAGAACAGGCTAGGTTCATATATAAGCTTGCACTTGATCATATTCCCAAAGGAAGGGCTGAGGATTTGTATAGGAAGTTTGTGGCGTTTGAGAAACAGAACGGAGACAAGGACGGGATCGAAGACGCCATTGTTGGGAAGAGGAGGTTTCAATATGAAGATGAGGTGAGGAAGAACCCTTTGAATTATGATGCATGGTTTGACTATATCAGATTAGAGGAGAGCGTGGGCAACAGAGATCGAGTCAGAGAAGTCTATGAAAGGGCCATTGCAAATGTTCCGCCTGCCCAGGAGAAACGTTACTGGCAGAGATACATTTATCTCTGGTGAGTTCTCCCTTTTGGTATTGTTTACAGATTTCGGCAATAACCCTAAACATGGTATTGCTTTCTTCGAAAGTTCTGAGTTTATGGTGTTGATCAAGGCTTGCTTTAGTAGTTTGGCAGTGGTTTGTCTTGGTCACGTATTAGTTCTGTGTTGAGTTTTTTTAATTGTTGGGCCATTACGTCATTTAGAATTGATTTCTGTTTCTTGTAATTAAAAAAAATGTTTGTGGTTTCTTGTATTAGTTGGCATATGGTCTGTTTACAATTTGTCATGAAATGGTGTAGGATGAATTATGCCTGCTATGAGGAACTTGAAGCGGAAGATGTCGAGCGAACACGAGATGTTTACAGGTATGCCCGTGTGTTGAGAGCAAGAAATTATGTCCCTTTCCATTGTGTTTATGGTTTACCAAATTGCTGCTGTTGTTACAAATTATTTAGATACTTTAAACTAACTCTTTTCTGAATTGGCTCGCTCATGTCTTCAGAGAGTGTCTGAACCTTATACCGCATCAGAAATTTTCCTTTGCGAAGATATGGTTGCTTGCCGCTCAGTTTGAGATCCGGCAATTGAATCTCAAGGGTGCTCGACAGATATTAGGCAATGCCATTGGAAAAGCCCCAAAAGATAAGGTATGGCCAGCATTTAAACTGGAACCAGTTTGCTGCTATATTATTTTAAGCATACTTGGTTACTCTAATCCTTTGTTTTTTCAATGAACAGATATTCAAAAAGTACATTGAGATCGAACTCCAGCTAGGAAACATAGATAGGTGCAGAAGATTGTACGAGCGGTATTTGGAGTGGTCCCCGGAGATTTGCTATGCATGGAGCAAATACGCTGAGTTAGAGAGATCTCTTGCTGAAACTGAGCGGGCTAGAGCCATTTTTGAGCTTGCAATATCACAACCAGCTTTGGACATGCCTGAGCTGCTATGGAAGGTATTTGCCTTTTGGTGCATATAGACCTTGTGATTTATTTGTTGTCTGGCTAGAAAATTTGTCGTTATTTTCTCGGTGGACAGAGTAAGTGTTAATGCGATTTTTTCAAACAGAATGGTCAAGAATTCTAAATGGGTTGTGTTGTGACAGGCGTACATCGATTTTGAGAGATCAGAAGGTGAGACCGGGAGGGCAAGAGCTCTACACAAGAGGCTCCTCGACCGTATCGAGCTGATAGATGCGTCAGGAAGAGGAAGGGAGCAACAAACAATGGAGAAACCTTGGAAGAAGCAAAGAACGACAAGTCCAGGGACCTAAATGCAGCCCATACTCACCCGTGACCGGCCAAGACTCCTTTTGTGTATACTAGTGTCGGTTGTGCAGTTGTAATTGCCACATCAGCATTTTATGAGCTTCTCGAACAGCTCGACGTTGTGTTTCTGGGTTTTAGGAATACAGTCGGAAGTTTACGATGTCAATGTCTGAAATTCATGAGTGCTTCTGCAGTGCGGAGAAATTGCTTCATAAATTGTGTGGGTTGATGTTGTGGAGGAGCATTCTTCTGTTTTTCCAAACGTGTTTGGGCCATTCTTTCATGCATACCTATCCGGGCCGTTGGCTGAGCTTGGAAACCGCAAGGAAGCCAACCTGATGTGGAGGTCGATAGCACTCTATGATCTAGTCGCCGGGAGAGTGCAGTCCGAGTCCGAAACAACGTCTACCACTGGCTTGCCGTGGAATCCTCAACATGAGGGGGCCATCTTCGTCTACATAATCAATTAGAGGACCAAGGTTTGTTCAAGAATCGAACCAGAATGCAGCCCGTTTACCATCGCCCAAAGAACATCGAATAAATTGCCGCACTACCGATTTAAGAAGTAAAAACTTCCCCCGGTTCCATGAGAGCCTAGAGAACGTGTGGTGTCCCAATATCCTCTACGTCGGAGCGTGTGTTGATGGGTCCACACCATTCAAAAAGAGCTCGATTTCTAAAACAACAGCCAAACCAATTTCAATCGAAAAACTGTATTAAAGTCCTCTAGTTTCCAAATGCCTAATCCTCCTTATGCTGTTTTAATATATATGACATGATGTTTAAATGACGGCATAGTAAATTTTGGGGATTGGCGTAATTTTCTAGAATTTTGAAAAAGTTAGTTTTTTTTTTTGTTAAATTAAAGTTTAACCTTTACTTTTTACATATTTTGAAAAAATGATATATACTCCTAGTTAAAATCAATTAATTTTACAATGATTTCCAAAAAAAACTGAAGTATTTGATATCAATTTTTACTTTGGTATATAGTTTTTTTAGGGATATTTGACTATTTAGATTCATTTATTGATACCATTTATTCACGAAGAATAACATAATCTTACAAAATCCAGATTTTAAAGTTCTGTATTTTGAAAATATTTCCAAAATATTTTCAATATATATTTTATAAAATGATCCTAAATTCATGGGTTAATATATAAATCTCAAATTATGTGTTTTTCCCTTTAACAGGTGGAGTTTATGCTAAAACGTTACAATGACATAACAACATTCCGATATAGTCATGATTCACACCCCTAGCCATGAGGATGATGATGATGATGATGATGATGATGATGATGATGATGAAACCAAAATGTATTGTATAATGTTTAGATATAATGGGTTGACAGTATATATTAAGACCACGTATATTTGTAGCAAAATACGTACCAATGTTTTTTTTGTGTATTGTCATCTGTTTATGATCCGAGCTTCTTGATCTGCCATGTAAAAGCCCAAACCACGTCATTCGGGGCTCAGAAACACGTGTCGTTGTTTTATTGGTTGGACTTCGTGTACCTGCAGGACGGTGTATCGCAAGACGCAGACTAAGAACTACGTCGTTTTGTTGTCGTCGCCGTCTTCTCCGCGTGGCGTTTCTGAATTTCTCCAGATTCGCAGTTTGTAAGAGTTTATCGAAGGAAAATGAGAATCCCGAAGATCATTCTTCGTATTTTGATAGTTTCATTGTCTCTTATCTTCCATGTCTGTGCCGATCAGATCTTCCCAACTCATCTTGGTAACTTTTTTTCCTTGCCCTTTTCGCTTCCCTCATTTCGCTCAGTTTTGATTTTCCGTTTTAAATACGATGTGGGTTCATTTCCTTCTCTATATCGATCATGTTCTGTAAATCGAATGTTGTCTAATTGCGTTTTTCAGTGCCTTAATTTCATATTTTCCGTTTATTTTTCACGTTTCTGTAATCTTGGAGCTAGATTTTTCAACTATATACAGTTTTTCATGTAGAAATTACACAGAGAGAAGCTGTTTTCCCTTGTGAAAGAGCATTTTGCCTGTACAAGAAAAGAGATGATTGCCAAGGTTTAGGGTTTCGGGGATATTCTTGCACTTTCTATAGCTGTGGTTGCTTGAGGTTTACGTAAGCATTTGCCATTGTCTCGTAAGTCAAATTGCCGAGTTCTTTGCATTTGTTTGACATCATAACTACACGCAGAAGGAAGAAGAGGAACTGATTGGTAGCTTCTGCAAATTTCTATCCTGGAGGACCTATACATTTCTATATATATATAGATAGATAATCAAAAGGAATGTTTGTTTTCTTTAATGTCGAGTTGGTGTAATGATTTGACATGATCAGGAAGTTAGGCCAGAGAAACAAGGTGATGTTGCATAGTCAGTTATGTCTGGTAGCCATTTGATGTCTCGGGCTGAGAAATTTCATGGAGTGGCATGGTCCTATAGCGTCATCTTTCTGGTGATGAATCATGCTTTCTTCTTAGTTACCATTTGGGTGATGATTAGATGATCTCTGCGTCATTAGATTAGCTTCTTGCGATAATCTTGTTCTTATGATCTTCAACACACTGTCGACAGTTGGAACGGTCAGCCGAAGCAATCGTGAACCTAAGTACAAGATTGAATTCTTCCCAGAAGATGCACCTTTTCACCCGGTAATTAGTCTGACCTCTTTTGAGTGTTAGTTCTATTAGAAGCTTATTCATTTTCTTCACCAACTTGACATTGACAAGAAGCTTATTCATATACTCGCTTTCGCTTCGTCACAGCAAAAACTCTAATATATTAAGAAAACTCGAATATGATAGAGCAATCATGCATATGTGCATTGATTTGGATAACTGTCATGTTATGATGCTTCTTTGTCCTTGTGTGGATTGGTCTAACATTTTAAAAGCACCCATTACCTTGTAGGACGATGACCGGGAATCCATGGTCATGCGTGGTAAGAATGGGCGAAAGCATTTATGTTACTTACCAAAGGATGAAGAAGCAATGAGTGGTTGGACCTCTTCCCGGGAAAATGTTAGCAGTGTTATCATGGAAGCTGAAAAACAGGTCAAACTAAAGACTCCTGATGAACTGCTTCAACCTCTTAGTGGTAAATGCCTTCTCAGAGTAAGGATTTATTCGCCGAAAAATTGTTCCCATTTTTCATTTCCCTAATTATGATATACTGCAAAATCGGGGCTTAAGAACTTATTTAAGTGTGTATTTGCAGCAAGAGGGTTGGTGGTCATATGAGTTTTGTCATCAGAGATGGGTCCGGCAATTACACATCGAGGATGATAACAAGGTATATCATCTTCTCTCCATCGTCTAATTGTACGTATCTCATTTGCTAAATTGACCTGAAGTCCGATTTCTTGTTCATATTCATCTCCTTGTTCGGATTTTTGTATCATGTATGTAGTTCAAATAACCCATCACTCGTGTATTTTCCTGATGCAGATTTCTCAAGAGTTTATCTTGGGTAATTTCGACGCAGATACAACTGCTGCTTTTAACGAAAATCTATCCGAAGCTTCTACAATGAAAGATCCTCGTTCAAGTGATGCATCTCAAAGGTTTAAACCCGGGTTTTATTCAACGTCTCGGGAAATTCTGAATTTCGTTTAATCTCCACCATGGCATTATGCAGGTATCACTCTCACCTCTTCACCAATGGAACCATCTGTGACCTTACAGGCAAGCCTCGAGAAATCGAGGTATGAAAAAAAGGCGTAAATCCGATATCTTGGGAAATTATGTATCGGGTTTATGATTTGTTTCATTGCAATGGATGAATACAGGTGAGGTTTGTATGTGCTGAAACGAGGGCAATGGTCACTTCCATCACAGAGCTTTCCACTTGCAAGTATGCTCTTACAGTTCAGTGTCCCACACTGTGCAAGCACCCGTAAGTCCTCTCTCTCTTCGGTTGGCTGCTTAAAGATCCTTAAAACCGCAACATAAATTGGATAGTTCTTCTTGTGAGAAGAGACGCCAAGAAATGTTGTCCAAAAATGTTGCTGCTAAATACATAAGATGTTCTCTTTCTCGTCTGCAATTCCTCACTTGTGTTGTTTCTTCCCTTCAAAGGGTCATCAAAGATCAAATCTTGAGTTCATATATGCAATTGTTTCAATTCCTTTGATCAATACAAGTTTTTGATCTTGTGACATTACAGGATGTTCCAGCAAGAGAAACCAGTGTGGCACACAATCCACTGCAATGTACTTACGGAGGAAGATGCTGAAACAAGAACAGAGGAGGAAGTAGAAGATGAACCGATCAAGATGATTACAGATTCTGACAAAAAACCCATCTAGTGTTTGATTCATTTTTATTTATTTACACTGACAAGAATCAGAAACATGAGAGCTAGATTAGAAAAAGGTGTGTAAATTCGAACATCATCTTATCTTATGCATTAACATTTTATGGACATGAGAGCTATCATTCCCTTTTGTCTCACCTTTCCTAACAAGAATTTGTAGAAGCCAACATGCTCAAGTACTCGTTTATAGCATCGCCTTCTCTGGTAAGATCGATATCGTAAGCCGATAACGCATCGATCTGTGCAACGTCTTCTGTTAACTCATCTTCCATCTCGGCGTCCCGTTCTATAGCGTTGTCATAACCAGTTTCGTCTGATACACCGCCCCCGGATTCATTAGATGTGCCTTCCCCTTCTCCTGACCTGAGCCCGAGACTATTCCTACCACCAGAGGGGTTTGTACTGTTCAAAGCTGCGCTAAGAAAAGAGGCGACTTGCGGGTTCGCTTGCTGCAAAGACAGTAACCGTTCGAGGATTTCTTCTCGGTTACCGCCCGCCTCCAAAGCAGAGATTGCTTCAAACCGGAAATGCAGTCACATGAGGTGATAATGGTTGATATCGGGAGAAAAACACAGATGATAGAAAGAAAGAAAGAACTTACCGATTGATTGTTCGAACCCCATTGAAACGAGCTGGTCTACTGTTACTCCGAGCAGTTGTTCCCGCCTTTTTCTCTTCCTCGATTCAATGTAAACCTGTTAGTTCAGAAAACGAGAAAGCTTTACAACCAAATTCATGAAGCTAAAGAATAATCCCAAGGCGAAGAAGTGAAATAAAACCTGTATTTCCGAATTGACATCCGGGGTTGTGAGAGCATCGAGAGCTTTCTGGAAGTCGTTTTCATTTCTTCGAAGGGCTTCTGCCGAAAGATCCCTTGCATAACTTCAAAAATAAGATATGATGTCTGAGTTTAGGCTTCAAGATAGAAAATTTTCCAGAACTTTATCACTTGTTCTAGTAAAAAACTCGAAAAGCTGAAGTTTTTTTACGGGATATGCATCTCGTATGAAAAGAATCAGAATCACCAGTGAAAACTACATGTTCGGCCAGAAAACGGTAAAAAATAAAACAGATTTTACAGTTTTCTTCTGTTGCTTACCCGATAGAAGCCAATCTGTTGAGCATCTGCATATCTACAGCTTTCTTCAAAGGTGTGACTCCATACCTTTTCTGCTCCCTGGGAAAAAAAACAGCGTTTTGAATTGAATCTTATACCAATTAAAAGACTTCAGCGAACATAACTCAAGAACATAGTGGTTATGATTTCGAATGGGAACTCATACATTATTTCCTTTTGCCTCTGAAGATTCTCTTTTCGCTTTTGAGCTCTTTTCGCCTTCTCTTCAATGAGAAATTCGACGGCAGTCCCGACATCTTGGCTGTTTAGCCGTAACGCTCTCTTAGCGTTCTTTTCATTGAAGCCCATGCTCATGACTTGGGACAATGCTTCATCAGGCACTTGTAGCTGAATAACAAAGCAAAAAAAGAACAGTATAAAGAACCGAAATTTGGAGGGAAAAAAATGACCAAACCGAATATTATCACTAACCCGTGAGAATTTTGCATGGGCAGACCTCAGCGTGTTCGCAGCTTTATCCAGTTTACCGGAGTGATATGCCACCACACCTTCCAGTAACTCTAGTCTCAGATATCTAAAAGATAAATGAAAAAAGAGATCGATTTTTATAAGTTTAAAGCAAGATTAGAACTAAGCAATTATGATTTAACATAATCTTTGGTTGAAATTAAAACTTACAATGCCAATTCGGGAGTTAGACCCGCTTGAAGGAGTCTCACCCGGGAAAAGTCTTTCCCGTAAGAACGTTCGAGTCCTTCTCGAGCTTTCTCAAGGCGAAGGCCAGCATCTGAAAGCCACTTGAGGTCACGGAGCAAGAAATAGCACCATACCATGTCTATTTGTATTATAGGGACGTTGTCAACGAGCTGGAAACAAGAACACAGCCATTAAGAAGATCTAAGAAAGGCCAAACTCCGAAATCCAAAGATTTAAGGAAAAATATTAAAATAAACAAGTAAAAAATCCATATGTGGGATGGGGCTATGAAGCTTAACAACAATGCATAAGATTGACATCATATGCTCAAAATAGAGACAAGATAATGAAATTTACGGAATTAGAGTAAACGGTAGAGCAATTACCTCGATAACCTTGGGATCACAGAGCAACAAAGCTTCCTACAAATGAGAGGAAAACTTGAAAAATCACCCCCCACATCCAAAAAATAATAATAATTTTTGGACAACGCTACAAGGACATGTACTATGGAATTTTTTGCCAATATATGCTTTCCCAAAACCAAAATCTCTGGGAGAACTAACAAAGTTAAGAGATTCTATCAAAAACCCATCATATCATATTTTCTTTTGGCAATGGCCGCTCGAACCAATAGAGCTTTCTTTAATTGATCAAACTCATCATGTCTTACGCTTGGCAGATTTATACCAAGCAAACATGGGAGAGAATAGAAAATCTCTATAGCATCGTTGAAAAACAAAAAATCCCGAGGATAGACCTCAAAGACATACCTCTGCCATGACAAGAACTTCCAATGCATCAGAATACTTCTCCTTTTTTATAAAATTCTTTGCCTTGGCATGTAGCATAAGACCCATCATCACTGCACTGTTAAATGACAAACCATTTTTTTTTTGCATTCAAACGACAAAATAATTCAGCATCACCTTTTTTTTCAGCTTCAACTTGATTATGATAGAACAAACCCGAATGAACATACATACAATACCTCTGATCGGTCTTCGTTCCAAACTGTACTTTCTCTCCTCTCTGATCTTCAAGCTCTATGTTATAATCATCGAGTGGCAATGAACCGTCGGCATGTCTCTCGGTTAATGCTGCAGCAGCAGCTCTACCAATTTCACAAAGACAGTCAACATGAGTTAGTTGGCATGTTAATGTTAATAGTTCAATCCATATAGATTATGAAACAACTAATGTTGTCTTTTGGACAATGAGAAACCGAGTATTGTCTCGATTAGGCAAAACAAAGAGATGAACGTTTGCACTTGCAGAGCTTTCAGATACATGATAGCACATCACTAAGAACAACACTACCAACTCAGCTGACAATGTGCATATTCCAATTAGTGTTTCACCAAATTCAAACCCATAATCAACCAAATCAAACAAGAATTCAGAGGTAAATCCATCTCTCAAAACCCTAACTCGCAAAACCCACTTCGGGTAAGCGATCAAGACGACGATCAATCCAGAAAATTCGACACATTTACCATCAAATTCATCCCAAAACAATAGAAACACGAGAACGATTTCGAAGAACGAATCCTACTTCACTCGAGCGAGGCGTCGAGACCGCTCTTATAAGATATGATGTCTGAGTTTAGGCTTCAAGATAGAAAATTTTCCAGAACTTTATCACTTGTTCTAGTAAAAAACTCGAAAAGCTGAAGTTTTTTTACGGGATATGCATCTCGTATGAAAAGAATCAGAATCACCAGTGAAAACTACATGTTCGGCCAGAAAACGGTAAAAAATAAAACAGATTTTACAGTTTGAGAGGATCTTGGCGTTTTCCTTCATACCCAACTGGGAAAGCGACGGAGCTCCGTCGCCGTCGCCGTCGCCGTCGGACAGGATTTTACCGGCGAAGATTATTTTGATCGAACCGGGATCGAGACCTGATCGCTTACCCACTTCTTTCCTTAACATGCGCACAGTCCATTTGTCGAGCTCGACCTCTACCATCCCCGACCACGCCCCTGCAACCTTCAGTTTCGCCATTGTTGACCCTTCCGAAAATCACTAGGTTTTTTTTTCTCTGGAATTCTCAGAAAAGAGGCTGCGTGAGCGTATATAGACACACACGTGTGTATTGACCGAAGATATCAGGATTCAGAGTTTCAGTAATTTACATTTAAGACCCTAATCTTTCCACATATTCGGAAAAAGATCCCCATGTAACAAGATCTGTCATAACTTGCCATTTCTTTTTTTTTTTTGGGCCAAAAATCAAGAATGATTGGATAAATATAAGATTTCGAAATTTTAAATCAGCAAAAGAAAATAACTTATTTGAAATCATATGGATTACGTATCGTCCTCACCTTGAGCCCTCGCCTCTCTTTTTTTTTTTTGGCCAAAAATCAAATAATTGAAATATTTTGTATGATCGTCATGTAACCATGATATGCGAAATTGAATTTGGATATATATTAAAGAAAACGGATATTGGACCGTATCGAAATATTATTTCAAAATCTTTACTATAACAAAATAACGAGATTTTGATGAAAAATTACAAAGCTCGTCCATTAACCGAGATGAATGTGACTCGATTTTCAGTTCAAATTGTATTCGATTATATTTGGTTCTGGTTATTTCGGTTTGAGAAAAATTATACCATTTTTGTATAAAATCCGGTTCAATTATACTTGGTTCGAGTTTTGTTTTGATTTCGGTTTTTATTGACAAAAATATTCAATTTTAAAAAAAAATTGATTCGAGTTTAATTTATTCAAAATCATAAACATTCAATTTTTTATCTCAAGATCTGTTACTCGATTTGCATCGTATCATTATTCGATTATATCATAAATCCTCTAAATGCAACGCGATCAAAGGTTAAACGAATATTTTAGTGGTAGAGTGAAGGGAATGTTTCCCACGACTATTATTATTATTAGAAAAAATCTCATATAAATATCTGAATTTTTACAAAAATCCTATATAAATACCTGAATTATAAAACTTCCATATAAATACCTGAACTTTTAAAAATCATATATAAATACCTAGATTTAAAAAAATCCAAATAAATACAAATTTCATGTATTTTTTAAATAAAAATAGATGATATTATTAACGTATTTTGGATTTATTTGAGAGTTTTTCAGAAGTCTAGGTATTTATATAGGATTGTAGAAAATTTTAGATATTTATATAGAAATTTTATAGTTTAGATATTTATATGAGATTTTTGTAAAAGTTTAGGTATTTATATGTGATTTTTCTCCTATTATTATTATTATTATTATTATTATTATTATTATTATTATTATTATTATTATTATTATAAAATAAATTGCCAGGCCCAGTAGACAGTCACTTACACGCGCCACCAACAGTACTTAAATTTATTGGGCCAGGCCCAGTAGACAGTCACTTACACGCGCCACCAACAGTACTCTGGTTTCAATCTGCAGGTCATGATTTGGAGGTCAAAGTCGAATACACGAATTTTGAATATTCGCCTTACAACGAGTTATAGATTAGATTTTAATATTTTTAAAGTTCGAATTTATATTTTTGGGTCGGATAATTGTATATGAGTACACCAATAGTAAAAAAAAATAATCATTATATTTTTGAGTTATTAGAAAATTACAAAGATATGAAACCTTTTACTAAAAAAAATACAAAGATATATATCAATATCTAATTATTTTTTTATTTTATTTATATAAAAATTTTAGTTTTATAATCTAATTATTTTGGATTTATATTTTTCGATAAATTTATAAATTTTATTTGTATATAATATATGAAGTTTTTTTTAGTTTAAATCAAAATATATTTAAAACCCATCGAGTTCTTATATCCACGAGTATCCGAAAATTATCTCGTATATAATATAATTTGGATACTTGAATTATAATCGAACAACTAAAGTTTTAATGATCATTTTTCGTTATGCTATTTTGTAGTTACTAAGAGTTTTGAATAAGATCGATTTTTATTTTTTGATTTTGAAAAATTATATTCATTCAATCTTTGCATCGCTTTTGATTTAATTCGAATTATTTTGAATTCGTTTATTTGATTTTTATTAAAAAAAATATTTATTTTCTAAATGAAATTTTATTTTTAGGTTATTTTCAATTGTTTTGATTTTAAAAGGATGAAATGTGAATCAATTTTACTTGACTTTATGTTTTTAAACTCAATTAGGTTTTTGCTAATTTTGAACTCGTGAAAAAAAAAAGTTTGAGAAAGTGGGGAAGATTTATGAATAAAGAAATATTTAAATGAACAGGAAAAAACTAACATTACCAAACATTTACAGATTTTAAGGCTTCAATTCTGCGTAAAGGCCTCAAAATAATGGAGTTTCCAACCTCTCAATAAAATATATAGTTTTAAATAATTAAAATGGGATAAATAAAGAGAAATGCTAATTCTAATTTTGTATAATAACTTTTTACAGCAGATATATTATATTGTGATAATTACATAATTAATCATTAGGGCCCATTCACATGGAGATTTACCTAACATGTCACAATCACAAAAAAGTACATTGAAGTTTGAGAAATTAGGCCAATTTTAATATATCCATAATGTTCCTCTATTTTTTTTTTTAATTAATTCCAATCTTACTTTTGACTCTCTTTTTTTTTTGGGGTCAAATTTTCGTTAAGAAACGTTTAATGCGAAAAAGGAAACAAACTAAAAGAAAATATGGTAAATATTTACACGTTTTTATCTAATTACATTCAAAACTAGTTATTTTCCGATTTTTGATAGAAGGGAGCAGACTTGAACACATCCAAAAAAAATTTCCAAAGAGAAATTTGTTCTCATTAATAATTAAAAAGTTTCTAATTTTTTTTTTGTTTGACAAACTTATTTCCAAACTTTTTTTTGGTAAATATTTCCAAACTTATAAAATATGTCATTATAATTATAAATTTACAAAATATGTCATTCTAATTCCTGAATGAATTCTTCAATGTTTCTTTTAGTACCAAATAACAAATTTAAGAATTATAATGACATATTTTGCAAGTTTGAAAACAATTTTATCAAAGAAAAAGTTTAGAAATTAATTTTTCACCATACAAATTAAGGAATTTTAATAGGATTTACCTAACTACAATTCTAATATTAAATGCGGTTGATTAATTATAGTAAACGATGCATTGGGAAATTTTCTAGTACGTTTGCAGATAAAGACAAATAAAAATACATATGATAGTTTATAGATAAGTCGACAAGTATACAAAATTTTCCAAAAATAAGATTCGAAACTTTAACTTTAAACCAATCAGATAAATTTACTCAAAATTTGAAGCATACAAAAAAAATGGGAAAAATCGGGTGTGCAATAATGGGATTTGGGATTTGGGTGTTCGTCGAGTATCTTCAAAAGATATGATTATTCGATCTTAGAAAACAGAGACATTATCAAAAACACACTTATTTTACTACATGTACTTTAGAATATATCCTCCTATATCATTTTCTGTGTGATTAGTGTAACCATCGTAATTTATTTTAGGATCACATTGGTCACACCATTAAATTTTAATGATGATCACACTAATCACATTGATCATACCATTAAAATTATATGTCCAGTTCACCATCATTTATTGATCTGATAAAAAAAATAGATTAAAAAATATATTCTGAAATACATATAACAAAGTAATGATAGTTTTGATAATATGTCAATTAAACGTTATACATATATATGTAAAATTCAATTATCCAATGAAATATTCAAATATTAGCATATATCCGAACCTAATTCTATATTTTCACTTCTCGGCTAAAAGTTTCTAAAAAAACAATTTCCATTGTTCAACGTACCATATGAATTTACCTTTAGCAAAAAAAAAAATACCACATAAATTTACTAAAAATCTAGAGCATGTAAAAAAACTTGAAAATATATTCGGGCGCTCAATAAATGGATATGGGAAAGGGGCATGCATGCATGTGGCGTCCGAATTTTGAATATATATATATATAATAAGGTGGAAAAAAGAAGTACACAATATATATATATATGTATGTATGTGTGTATGTATATGTGGAAAAAGTACATACTATATGTATGTAGTGGTCCAATTAAAGTGGTCGTTTTCAATTAGCAATGGACGGTTTATAGGAGTCGTGATATGTTGGATCTCTCTTTCTTCCCGCATTTACTTCCATAACTTGACATTGTCAAACTAAAGTGTCGCATAACAATAACAATAAGTATATTATATATATATATATATATATCTAAGATTTTTCAATATTTATTCATGGTTCGATTCGATATATCTTATGATACGTTATTCATGTTTAGATATCGGATTATAAAACTTTTATTCGATACCAAGTATTTAAACGATTTCTTTTCGACTCAATTAAATTCTTTAAAATTGATTTGAACCGAATCTCAATAGGGTCAAAATAATCCCAATTAAAATGGTATCAAATTCAATTGGATTTTTTTAATGTTTAAAATTAGAATCATATATAATAAAAACCGAATTCACTAAAATGCTGTTTTAAATCGCCCCTACATTCATGTGAACTCATTGATTCAATTTGTGTGTAGTGTCTCTCTTAAGGTTGCTTCATAGATTGTCTTCACATTTATTTTCAGTACAATATCAGACCCCAAAAAAAAAAAAATCATATATAATCCATAGACGACAATGAAAATATAGAAAATATTGTAACACCTATAATAAAAAAGATAAATACTTTATACTAAACAGATGTGTATCACAATATCAATTTTCGAAATTTATTTTTATTATCAACATTTATTCATTGTACGTGAATTGTTGTATAAACTCTTTATTTTTATCTGCATTTTCTAAAAAATTTAAAAGTATAATATTTTAATAAATCAAAGAATATATATTTTCAAAATAAAATCGTGTGCAAATATGAGTGTACACCTAATATAATAGAAAAATAATTGTTGCGAGGGCAATTATTTAAACAAGAACCGGAATTTGTCCCTTTCATTGAGGCAACTACTCTCTTTTAGTTACTATAAAAAATAAAACCCTAAATATGTGTGTTTCAATTTTCTTTGCCTGCCATTAAAATGGACAAAATAAATAAATAAATACCACAAAAAGTTCCTTTTTTGATAAATAATCATACATAATAAGCATAATATATAATAGTCATGATATTTGAGAGTGTAGTCCATTATTTCGCCTACAGAAAAATATATTCGAGAAACCCTAGACAATTTCCATTTGTTAATAAAATAATAATAGTGTAAATTTATACAATTATCGACCCTATTCCTATAATGAAACATAAAGTAACTCCTTTTACACGTAAGCCTATCCAAAGAATGGTGTTTAAGTATTTCTCTAATTTGGTTTGGTTTTAATATATTAGGTTTCGATCGATTTGGTTTATTAGTTATTTCCGATTTGAAATATTTCGAGAATTGGATATTCCTAATTTGTTTCCTCTGCATTTAAAGAACAAATTCATTTGAAATAAATAATCATTGAAAAAAAAATTATTTCGATTTTGTTCTATTTGATTTCAATAGTAACATTGGTTTCATCTAAAAGTCAGTCCAAGATATGATAAATGGACAAATACCTCCAAACCAACAAGTTCGCTGAACATCAATAACTTTTTTCACTTCCAAATATATATATATATATATATATATATATATTTATATATTTGGTAAAGTATATAGAATATATATTACATATATGGAAATAGATATTGACATGACAACATATATGTGTAACCGATTTGATTTTTAGATAATTTCGTGTAACGATCCAAAATCTTGGAACCCACCTTATAATATAAACTACCAAACCCTAATCTCTCATTTCCTTCTATAAAACAACACAAAACCAAAAAAAAAAAAACACACACACACACACACAGAGAGACAAATGGATTGGTTCTCATGGATGTCCAAAACGGACCTAGACCCGACACTGAGCTACGAGTACGGTCTCATCTTTGCCCGGAACAAACTCCGGCGAGAAGACATACCCTTCTTCGACCACAAATTTCTCCGGAGACTTGGCATTAACGTCGCTAAACACCGGCTCGAGATTCTCAAGCTTTCTCAGAGAGAATCTATCGGCTCCGGCGATGGTTCTTGCCGGCCTCCGGCGACGGCAAAGCTTGTCTCTGCCGTGAAGAGGACGACGAGTTCCGTCGCCAAACGGCTCGGCAAGTGGCTTTTTCCCGGTGGGTCTGCGGTGGTCAAGCCATTGAAGGATAAGCTGCAGCCAGGACGGTGTA